AAGAACAAGAGAACAAATATCAATACCAGGTAATTCATGTACCGGTAGAAAATCACTTCTCCATCACAACCAAATATTCTTTGAAGATATTGCACCCTCAGTAACATCTGTGCAATCTCCATAAGTTAGAACATGTGAGAGTCTAAACATATTTTCACCTCCAAGTAAAATGGCACGATCAATACAGTATTTGCCTGTAACAATTATCATGATGAGTGCTGATATAAGTTATAACATTAGAAATGTTAAAGAAGGTTTTTTCTCTAATATCAAAAGGACAAAAGCTTACACTTACTGGTGTTGTCAGCAGTATGTGTTTCTTCCATCATGGTTGAGTCAGAAAGCACAGTGGGAAGCCAAAAACAGCAGTAAGTTTAACACTTCACTCAGCAAAGGAAAGGCCAAGCAGACTGAGACTAAACCAACACACAGTGAGTCTTAGATTAGAAATGTATTTAATTCTTATCTAAATCATTGCACCTACATATATATACACTAACTGACTCATCCTGGTGAAACCTGATGACCAGAGTCTGATGGGTAAGCAGCCATGTCCTGGTGAGAATGAAAACTTCATTACTGTTTTACCTGCTGGGGGTTCTCAATCAATTTCTGATCTTCTCTGGTGGTCACTGGACTACCTCAGACGTGTCAGACTTGGGGCTGAGCACTCCTGACAACTACCACTCCATTAGGAAATCTCTAGTAGTAGAGTATGTTAGAAAACAAGAAAGTCAATAATAACCCATACAGCAGAAAATATTGACAAGCTACAGTATACTATGACCTCTGAAACAACAGTCTTTCATCATTGCCATCTTCTGGAAGTCACTACATGACCTTGTCATTTCCAGGCCAAAGCCAAAGGTTTGTTTATATCCTGTCTTAACTTAAACTACCTACAAGGAGTGATATACGATATTGAGATACACATTGATAACGAAATGAAATACAACCATGGTCTGAATATAAGTGGATTTCTACTGAAAGAAAACATCTTTGACACAAACCTTGCATTTCTCTGTGCCAGAGCAGTGTTCTGGCTGGAGACTTTGGTATCACCCAAAGAAGAACCAGTCCTATGAGTGAAACCCTGAGCAGGACTGGCAGCAGGGCTGCAAGGTTACCTGAGCTCAGACCTTCCAGTCAAAACCATTTATCACTCTCAGGGGGAGGACTCTGCCCCATCACAGATCCAATAGTCTGATTCCGGCTGACTTTTACTGTAAGCTCCACACTACCCAGCTTTACTGCTTCCGCTTGAGAGGGGCACACAAAGAACCTGTCTGGAAGATGTCTTCAGGTGTTTGATGGGGAATAATAGAGTGCTACATAATTTACGACTTGATTAAGTGAGCTGTGAAGAGTTGTAAATCACTGTGAGTTCTTTCATTCTTGAAACCTGCCCTGAGCCCTCTGTCCTAATCTGATGGTAGAACACACATCTTAGAAAAGCTAGGCATAAAAATCTCAAGGTCAGACCCATCAGTATTTCAAACAAGTAAAAACACTGCCATTAAAACAATTACATTTTACCTTCATGGCAGAACAGATATGATTTTATTTTCATATACACTAGCTGCGACTCTATTCAGACTGGATAGACTAATATGATAAAAGAAATTCTAAATTTGATACAATTATGTACCAAAAAAATTTATGTGCTGGATAGAAGAGTAACAAACTTGACCTCCAGGTGGCAGCAGTGTTGACCTTAGGCCTGGGCTCTTCTGTCAGTTTAGAAAGAAAATTCATTTAGAAGGTATCACTTTCACCCAGGGGTTGGCTCAGGGCAGGGTGGACTGTGTACACAGCACAGCTCAGTGTTGATAGAAGACAGCTGGTCCAACCAAAACCTGAACAAGCCTCTGGAACCCTAACCACTAGAGGGGAGTGTGTGTAGCATACACGCCAACTTTCAACCTCGCCTTGATAACTTACAATGTGGGAAAGCACAATTTACCATTAAAATCAGAATAGACAAACAGGTGGTTGAACCATGAAGAAGTAAGGGTTGTTTAGTCAAGAAATCTCCCTCGCCACTAGTGGTTAAAGGGGAGGCTGCAAGTTTATGCTGCATAAACAGAACTCAATATCCTGACAGTGAATGGCATAGGTGATGGATTACAACACAATAAAAGACAAACCAAATGTAACTTTGTTTTCAGGAGTGTGCCTAATTTGTCTGTTTGTCAATAGACTAATCACAGGCTCTTTGTAAATCTCCCAATAACACTTTCTTCCTAACTTTATCTTAATTAACATTTCAATGCTGAGCATATAATGTTAGATATCAACCAGGATGACATCCAGAAGGCTAAAGGAATCTACATGTATATTCTAAATCATTTTTTGACTTTGAATATCAAACGACAAAGAAATCATCAATATTTGTCTCACTGGTATGCAATAATGACTATATTAGGAAGCGAGTAACTGATTGACGGCCATCAGATTAAAGATTAGAATCAACCTATACATTACAGTACATTTGTATTCTGAGCAAGGAGAAAGTGTTCCAGATAAGTTTCAAACTTCATCAGACATTGCTACAGTTAAAGGAAATACAGTGTCTGATATTTACCAAACTGAGCAAATGTCAAAGAAACCTACCACACTAGATGCCTCCCACCTCTCTCCCTGTTGCTTGGGTAACTGAGGGGTACACTGTATTTTAAATGCTCTCTGACAGATGGCCTGTATGAAATGTTCCATGCAACATTTCAATCTGCCTAGAATGAATCTATAATCCAGCTGCAGAGTCCCCAAGTGCAGCTAGATCTACTCCCCCTCCAAGATATGGGGATAAGATCAGACTTCCTGTCTGAGAGAAGAAATTGAACTCTTGTTAGATGTCCCTGACCTACAGGTCATGACCACTTGACCTCACCTTTCACTCCTACTTTTCAGATGGTGATGATGTGACAAAAATAGTGTCATGGTAAGGGCTCATTCTTGGCAACTTCTCCAAGAATATACAGGCTGACAATCAGATCCATATGATGCTGTTCATGCTGAACCTATCAAGGTTTCTGACTGTTTAATACTACCTGGGTACTTTCACTCCTGTAAACAGCAGTCATATAGTACTACAGTGTTAAAGACCTATCACAAAACGTGTCTGCTACATTCTAATCAGCCCTTAGTATACCAAGATGAAGTCTTCTGTTTGCATCCTCTTCCTAATCATATAGTGGTCATGCGTGATAACAGGGTAATCATGGCACACACCATAATGAGAAATGTTCAGCAGTTAGAAGATAATGATAGAAACTCCACACCTTACAAAGAATAATTGTCTGAGGCAAGGTTGTGACAGCTGGGGTCCCAGACTATATAATCATAGAATATTTCTATAGCAGAAATTGATTGCCTTAAATGCTTGCGGGCATCCCTCCACAAGTGCTCCCACTTTAAACAAAGATGGCATTTGATATGTGCTTTGCTACAAACAATGGGAAGACACCCATTCCGGAGGCAATGTTTACAATATTGTGTAAAAATTACATGTTCTGTTGCCTCCCTGGGGCTGGCAATTGTTAAGACAGATGGACAGACCAGTGTCTTCTGAGCTCCAGACAAAAATTCCACATGGCAGACAGTTGTCCATTGTTACCACCTGTCAAACAGCTGAACTTTTCACATTGCAGGTCACTTGTGAAATGGTTCTTACCTTTGCAAAAGGGCTTACTCAATAATTTACATGATTAACATTATGTGTATAGTTGATAAACAAAGAAAGAAGTCTTCTCCAATCACGGTCTAATTTAAATTACAAGGTATTGGTCATCTGGTATCTTTCATGTGTCACCCTTTATGTGCTTCAAAAGGTGAGACTGGTACTGGATGATGTACAGAATGAAACTGTGGAAGACTTTCATTTGTAAGAAATCTTTTAACGTTAAATATGTCTTTTGATCAATGTTGAAATGTCTGTACTCACATTAACAATGTATGCTTAATCTTTTTGTTTATCATATGCTTCTTACAATGTCATTTCATAGTTTAGTTTTGTAGTATTGTTGTCTTACTGTCACACATTGTACCATGTATGATTGTCAAGCAATAAAGTTCAAGTAAAGTAAAGTTCATTCATATGACCTGTTTATAAAGTACTGTGGTTTTTGTAAACAGTTCACATGTATTAAGTTAATAGTTATTTACTCCTCTTTACAACGGCCCTATTAAAATGACATTAGTAGGTCTTTTCCACTTCATGATCCATCTGCTTCACAGGTCATTAACTGTATGTTACCCAGTAACTACATGTAGACAACCCTACTGTATAGCATTAACGGCTAGAGTTCTAATGTTATTATAATTCTGAATGACCTTCCACTCTTATTAAAGAGATCAGCTATGGGATTTGCAAGCTGATACAACTGATGTGGATGATTATTTCACACCTGACTTGATCTAGGAGCCCCCTACTGTGCTTGGGCAATGCTTTCATGCAAAATCCTGTCTCCACAGTACTAGTAATACACATTTATCTTTGCACTAAGAACATGCAGTGGTGTGTGTATCTTTAAATGCCACATTCACCACCTTATCATTTGTCCATTGTTAAAGTTGTGCACTATCATGAATATGTTTTGGTCTTGCGGGCTCTGTTGATTTTTGAAACATGATGAAACCTGTGGGTTGCAACGACTGCTGATGTCGCTGGTCGGCACGTTTGACAAGACTGAACTGCAGTTTCGTTTCAGCCTTGCAAGTCACGTCGCCTGGCTCTACTTTGTTATCGTGCTGCCTACCAGCGATGAAAAATTGCCTGACCTTGAAAGACAAACAGATCCCTCAACCACAAATTGGAGCAAGGTAATCAAAGAACAGAGTAGCTTTTCTACTCGGCACAAAAGATGGAAGATGGAGGAGGGAGTATCAGTTTCCTCTGGTCAGGGCTGCTCCTGGGCTGCTCGTAGCTTCGGAACCAAAACAAACCAACATGGCTCCGATTTCTACACAAAACAAAAAGGACAAGAAAAGTTAAGACTTACGTCCATTCTGCTTCATCATATCCTTCAAGACTGGGTGGTCCAGCACGTCTCGGTGTATCACAGCTAGACGTCTTCTCAGGAAGGCCACATCCTCCGCAAGTTCATGATCCGAGTCCTCCAAAAACGGAACGAACTCGGCGTGCACTCCTCCGTCAACAACAGGGCA